CAATGTACCAGTACGTTTTTACACCATTTTACTATCTATTCTCTTTTCCCTTACACACCGCATCCATTTCTTTTTGCGAAACACTCATTCTTCAAAAGATATTCCATTGCAAAATGAAATAAACTAAGTCTGGTTATCGTTAGGAACGCGTAATAATGGAAAAAATCCTGAAATTCGACCGGGAAACTTCGGAAATTGTAACTACACTATTTAGGCACATGTTGAAAAAAGTAACCGATGCCACCCATGCCTTCAACATATGCCGACCTATCATATATTTACAAGTCTATTTACATTCCCATCACTACCGTCGTTCTTCACTGCTTTTACGACTGTCGATGTCATTTGCTCTGGCCGCTGCTTGCTCCCAAAACAGCTACCTAAGTAGCACTGCCCTAAAAGGCCTACTTGAAGACTCAAATTTGCTTTTCCGATCAGGAGAATCATTCCCTTTACGACTGCAAATAACACCAGTTACGGAACACCCTGTATATGCGACCTGTTTCTGTACAACGTAGACAGCATGGCTGATGTGGTCGTTGTGAAAGGGTTGAAGAAGGAAATCGACCGACAGGGGAACTTCGGTAACCTGAAAATTCCGATTTGTTTGAAACTTTGCAGGTTTGTAGGGGACCTCAAGAAAAGTAATTTTCTTTTTGGCCCTTTTCCAGTTCTTCGGGATGAAAACAGCTCTTGAATAAAGATAAGTGTTACCTTATTTCCCTGTATATCTTTAGAACTATAGTATGTTAGAGATCTTTTCTCCTTGAAGGTTCTCGGGTAAGTACTGTGCCTTTTTGACACAGTCCTCTTCCCGGAGAGTCTCAAGACTCTCTCCACTTCGTGGCGAGATCCTTTGTTCAGAAATCCTTATCTCTCTGTACGCGCTACGAAGCATCGGTGACGTCGGACTACCGACCCCGTGCACGCAGTCCTCTTTGTGTTCGGCAACAGGACGTCGGGTCTTTTGCCACTGGTTTTTACGTCACCGCCGAGCGTATCTCCCAATAACAGATTCTATGGTTCCGCTCGTTGGCGATATGTAATGAGTCGAGGCGAGGCGACCGTCGTGGTTCTCGTAGATCGTCATCTGTTTTGTCGATAGTCAGTTCGTTTTATGCGCGTCTCGAGAAAGTGCGTTCGTTGCAGTAGTTTCCCAATACGAACAATAAGCAAAATTTTTTATCCAAAACAGCAATTCGTTGACTAAACAGCACACACTCTCTTCCACACCAACTCCAGTGGAACACGATATAAAAAGAAAAATATAAAAATCGAGAAAAATCAACATTATTGCATAACCTATCTTTCTTACTTTATTGAAAATATATATTTATTGAAATGAAATCTTACAGTTTGATCAGTCATTCAACACATTTGAACAAGTATTTTGTTGTTAAGTTAATATGTATGTACAATAGCCGTTCTATACAAATCGTCGTGGAACGTGGCGAACGAACTTTATAACCTCGTAAAATTCGAAGGGGAATTATAGCAACCCAACGGTATACATATGTACTTCCATTAATCGCATTGATGCATTAAAGTTCCATACATAGGCACTTTCAAAAGTCCAAGCATACAATATAGCTTATCTCTGTATCTTTATTACAATCGAAAATTCAACTGCCTGGACAATCTGAAAGAGGGAAAAACGTTTGATAACAGCGTTTCTTTTTCAAGTCATTTTATCCTCCCAAGAAACCATTTATGATTCTTCCACTTGTTCATTCCTATGTGAACTATTGAATATTAAAACACGACCGCAAAAATAACAAATATTTGTGCAAGGTTTAAATACATATGCGTTAAAAATGTATGTAACTAAATAATTATAAAACGGCATTGCAAGGTTAGGTTAGGCTATAGTTAATAAATTATTAAACAATGTGGTAGAACTTATATTTTAGATAGTCAAGAATTCCATTTTAAATATTATGACGTACGGTTGATCGACACAAAATTATGAAGTATAGTCGGTGGAACAAATATAGCGAGGTCGTAAATTGCGGCCCTGATTGAAGTTTTGGGTTCTTATCTTCTCAGTTTTCTTTCCATTCGCTTATCGATACGCTCGAACGTGTAAACTTTAACGCCTGACCGATTTCATGACCTCGCTATATTTCTTTCATCGGCTATACATATGTACGTATGCGTATTTAAGGCGAAAATAATTAACGGAAGGGACAGAAGGAAATTTAATAAATACATATAAATTTATTGCATTTGTACAATTAGGATTAAGTGTAATAAATGGAGAAATTAGGAGTACAAACACTTTTTCATGAATAAGTGCATACTAACAATAAGCGTTGTAAGATATTGGAAAATGAAATGATCGTAAAAAATCTGTTTTTATATTAAGTTTATAAAAAATTATAAAATTAATTACGTT